GGTGATGGAATTCATAGTCATTGTTGTACTTCATACTTTTTGTATAATTAAAAAAATATAAAATGAACATGTATTATATCAGTCCTCAGAACATAAATCCTTTTGAGTTTTGGAAAAATGTGATACCCAAACTCATAACCATTAAAAATATAGTACCATTATCAGGAAAATGTAATAAATAAAATATTCCACTCCTATATTTATCACCAAAGACACTGCTGACTCCATTGACATTGGTTGCATTTATCTATTCATGACATATTTGCATGTGACGTTTTGAGAAAGGGAAGCACAGAAGCTTTGTGATGAGTGTTGAACTATGACTTCAGTCACTCTGAGAGCTCTGGATGAGAAAATATATCTTATCTTGACCAAGCATCTTCATTTATCAGAACTCACATTGACGTGAAAGGATGCATTCCTTCAGTCTCCTAACACTGTGGGGAGGCAGGTGCATTGCAGGCTATCGCTTGTCCTCTGTTTGCTCGTAGACAACTTCGAAGCGTCAAGTGGTGTATTGATTGGCTTCATCGATGTCACATGATGAGTCTGTCTGAAGATCTTCCAAGTACATCTCAGTCCCTGGAGTCTGCATCCAGTCAATAGACTGTTGGCTCAAAAGCTAAATAGATGACAGACGAACTCATTATATGGCAGAGGCATGGGGAGCTGAAATCCATGGGGCAAATCCGTAGGGCCTCTGAAGAGACTTCTTCTTCATCATGTTCCACTCCCTCTGTGGCTCCCTCAGCCCTGCTGTCTGTCTAGATTGCTTCATTGTTGGGGGGACAATGTCTTAGCCATGCTCTAGTTCTTTGTTTCTTATTTGGGCAGTAAGTCAATGAATTTTCTAAATAACCTGAACTTTTTATTTGCCTGTCCAACTGCAATAGTCTGAACTGAAAGATTAATTTCATTTTATGGGATTAGACATAACTTGAAACATGATGGAAATCAGTATGCAAATCAGACTTTACACTAAGCTCTTATTTTTTTCTAGAAATAATACAACTCATCTGGATAAACATGTGCACAGTATTCCAACCCTTCTTTAAAGGGTTATAACTGAGCTCTCAGAAAGTCAGTAGCCTATGATACTTAACACTCTGGGGCAGAAAAGAAGGAAAACATTTTTGTGTGAAGGGGAGAAAAATCACTTGTGTTTTAAAAATACCTTTAAATATTGAATGTATATGGACTTGGCAGAATGATGTAGGGGGAAAAGAAAAATTTATATATGGTAGCATTAAGAGAGGAATTTAATATATAAGAAAGCCATTCTGAAGCAAATTTGACAGTTTTAAATTACTTTCCTTTTAAAGATATAGCACCTTGTAAAATTGATTATGAAATGGAGGTCATATATCTTTATTTGTTAATTTGTAGAACTTATGTTTTAACATTTATCTTTACTCTCTAAAGTCATGAAGAATATATCTTTCTTATCAGTTTCCTTATATCTGAAAAATAAATGTGTCATTCCTTACTGTTTCACTGATGGATCATTTTAGTTTAAGTTTAGTTCCAATAAAGAAGTTATTTTAGAGTTTATGTGAAAAAGTAAATTAGCTGCATTTTAAAATCACTGTAAACCATTAATATGTGCAATCTCTTATAAAAATCACATACTCCTAAATCTTTATACTCATTAAAATAATTATGTTTACTGGTATTTGGTAGTAAAAATAGTTTATATGTAATATAGCTTGAAGTATTAGTAAGATACCACACCATAACTGGTATGGCCAGTGAAGGTATTAATATTTGAGAAGTGTTCTCAAGTCAAAGAGCCTATGTTCTATTTTCCCAATGCAATTGTTCTATACAGAAACCGTGCTTTAAAAAAAAATCACTATACAGTTACTACATTTATTTTTCAGTTTACCTTAACTGAATACTAGTAATTTTTTTTACTTTATTAAAATACTGAGTTTATTTCACATGTATATTTTTGTCTCCCCACCATTTCCATTTGTCTGACCACCACTACTACTGTGTCCTATCATAACATTCCATACATACTTAAAACCAAGCAAAGGGTGGAGTTCCATCTTTAACAGGCATTTTGTACAACACATTCTTGGCAATGGAACCTGGACAACATTTATCAGGCACAGTAGGGAAAGTTCTCACTCTGCATTATAAAAAGGACAGCCGGATATCCACTGTTACAGAAATGAAATAAGACGGAAAATTTTAACAAACTGTTTAAACTATTTTCTTACGAGACTTCCTCCACTGCCAGAGATCTTGAATAGCCTCTTGGTTAGTCATCTAGAAGAATTCTTCACATAACTGATGAACTTGGCTTCCACTTTCGGAAGAAAACCACCTTTTTCTATACTTGCTTGCATTTTTGCTTTAATATCTTCTACAGAACGAGGGCCTTTCAGTTTTTGGGAGTCTCTTCCTGTTTTTTGAAAGATTCTTGACCTTTTGTTTTTGGTGTTGATGGTTTTGAGTCTTTCCATTCTGGTTTGATTTTTGTGCATTTTTGGCTGGAGTATCTCATATAGATTTCTTTACTGGAGCCTTTTCTTCAGCTTGCTCATCATCAGAATCATCATCATCATCATCTTCATCATCATATTCATCAGCAGCAAGTTTTTACTTTTTTCTGTGGAACCTTGCTACCACTTCCAGGGTCAAAACGCTTTCCAGATAAACTAAGGTGGTTCACGTCCTCTTCCTCTTCATCTTCTGACTCTGCATCTTCCTCCAAAGCTACTCAGTGCTGTCCGCTAATATGCGTAGGCCCTGAACCACATTTCAACCATAAGACCACAGGTGGGTTATTTCAAAGCCCCCAAGGGAAACTGTTGGCTGTACAGACATTTTCAAAGTTGCCAGTGTGACTTTAATTGGACTGCCTTCATAATTCATTGCCTCTGCTTCAACAATGTGCAATTCATCCTTTGCACCAGCTCCTAAACTGACCGTTCCTAAAGATAGCTGGTGCTCATTTTCATCATTATCCACCTTAAAGTGATAATCCTTGTCAGCCTTTAGTTCACAACCAAAAAGATAGTTCTGGGGTCTCAGGGGGCTCATGTCCATATCCATCGAATCTTCCATGGGGTGGTGGCACACACTTAGGTGGGAGAGAAGGTGGACAGAGATAAACCACTACTGTTCCACAGAACAGCTGCGCAGGATGGAATCACACAAGGGAAAGGAATACTAGTAATTTTTAAAAATACTTAAAATCTCATCAGATTTAGAAGAGAAGAGTGACACCTTGCCAATGAATTGGTCTTCATTCCTGAAGAGATGACCCATCATGAAAGCCACAGTATGAGGAACTCTTGCTAAATAAGAAAATTACCCTATGTAAACAGAAGCAAGATCAGTGGTCTCTGAACTTTTTTGAGGGTACATACCTATCAATAAAATATGTGCCTCCAATACATGTTTGTATATGTTAATGAATTATGTATATGAATTACTATAATGTATTCTATACATGATAAAACATATTCCCAAAATAGAATTATTAACATAAATAGAAACATTAACATCTTTCATACCACTTCCAAATAGATGATTTTGTGGGATACCAGGTATACCCTGCCCCATACACACATACACACTGTTGAAAACATGAGTGTAGAATTCCCATCTTCCCTGGACCTCTTAAAATAGTTCTGAGTCATATAATTGGAAGTCCCAATTGGAAAACTCAGATTTTTTTTTTAACCTATTTAAAGTGTATTAGTCATCTATCACCAAAATATAAGATGCAGTGACCCTCACAAAACACAGTAGTTTAAAACAATAAGCCTTTATTATTATTCACATGCCTATAGATCAGCTGGATGGTTGTGGGCTCAACTGGGCTCACTCTCTGTGGTTAGTTGTTGGGGGGGCAGTTTTGCTGATCTTGGATGGGTTCACTTACATGGCTCACTGTGGACTGGTTCAGGATTACCTCAGCTGGGACATCTCGGCTCCTTTCTACATGTTTGTCTCTCAGATTCCTTGGGAAGGCTAGACTGGGTAGGTTCTCACCGAGATCTCAGAGAGATAAGATTAGAAACATAAATGACCGAATGCTCTTTCATGCCTCTGCTTTTATCAAGTTTGCTTCTATTTGGCCAAAGCAAAGCAAGTCACTTGACTGAGCTCAGTCAGATTGGGAGGGGAACACAAATGTAAAGAGGAAAAACCATGAATATGAGAGGCCAGTAATTAGGACCATTAATGCAATCAATCTACAATATCAAGAAAGTCTCTTCTCCATTAAATATATGCAAATGGACTGATAATTTCCAGTTAGCTATAAGAGCTACCAGCCAATTATACCTCAGTGTTCTGATTATTTAGGGTAGTTCTCTGGCTATAGAGGCTATAGATGTTTAATTTTTTTTTTTTAATACTTCAGCTCATTGGAAGTTTAAGTTAAATGTTAAAATTGTATTCCCAAAGGGTTTTGTCATCACTGACTTAGGTTGTCTGGGCTCCGAGGATGCAATAAAGGTACAATTGTGACTGTCATAATCATGCGTACATTGGTCCCCATGTGGATACTGCTAAGTCTACACAGAACACTGTGAAGTAGAGAAAGTAAGCCTCCTTTCATGAAGCATTGGCCTAAAATTAAAGAAGAAATGCAATAGAATTCTATAATTTAAGTTAGAAATTGATAATTCCAAGAAGAAGACACAGTATCCTGTGTCCTGTAGTATATTTTACACAATACATTATTTAAAGAACAAATACCGCCAAAGTGGGGGGGGGGGGAAGAGCACCTCTTTTTAAAAAACAAAAATTCTGAATGATCACTTTGTGTCTATTTTTGAGGTAATTTATAAATGTCCCAAATTCTGTGTTACCATCTTAGAAAAAATTGTTCATTTATTTTTTTAAAGTGAATATACAATTTATTTAACATTCAAACTTCATTAAGACATGTGGAATATGGCAGTTTTACTGGGATTTAACCCTACCTAGGATATGATTGCTTGCTGGGGCTTAGCAACAGGGTCCAGTTCACACTTAGCACTAATTAAATACGTTATTGAATAAATACAATACCAAACAAAATGCATTCAAATGCTTTCTAAAAAAAAAAATCAATTTTAAAGGCCTTTCTATTCAGGCTAATGACAAACACAATAAAGGCAGATATGCTAGTTTAACATAATTGGCTGATTTTATACAGCACTTATATCTTTTAGTCCACAAGTATATTATTAAATGATAGAGAACATCTAATACAACCATTTCTACAGAACTAGGAAATAAATTTCTAAGAAAGAAAGATTTTACAGACCCCATCTTTTATACCCAACCCCAACAGTCTAACTCTAAAGAGGATAAAGCCAATGCCTTTCCTCACAAGAGCTCACGACTAAAGTCGCTTGGCTATCAAAATCTGTATTTCTGATCCGTTATGAGCATTGAGACAAGATTCAAATATTTGCAAAGAAAGAAGCACAATGCACATTGTGATCGCCTATTCAGCAACAGCGAGCACTGCATTCAAAACTATCTCATCCCAGGAATTAAATAAGGTCAGCCACATTCATTGGCATTTCCTCCACTGTAGTATTGTAGAAAGTCTCAATGTCACGAAGAATCCTCTTGTCTTCTTCAGTAACAAAGTTTATAGCCACACCTTTCCTCGCAAATCGACCCCCTCTGCCAATTCTGTGAATACAGTTTTCACGATTGGTAGGTAGATCATAGTTTATAACCAATGACACTTGTTGCACATCAATCCCATGAGCCAACAAATCAGTAGTGATCAAAACACGGCTTGACCCTGATCGGAATTCCCTCATGATAACATCTCTTTCCTTCTGGTCCATGTCACCATGCAGAGCAGAAACTGTGAAGTCCCTGGCATGCATTTTCTCAGTGAGCCAGTCCACCTTGTGCCTTGTATTGAGAAAAATAACAGCCTGAGTAATCGTCAGTGTCTCGTACAAGTCACAAAGTGTATCCAACTTCCATTCCTCTCTTTCAACATTAATATAAAACTGTTTGATTCCTTCAAGGGTCAGTTCTTCCTTTTTCACCAGAATTCGAATTGGATCTCTCATGAATTTTTTGGTCACTTCCAACACATCAGTTGGCATTGTGGCAGAAAGCAACACAACCTGAATACTTGTATTTAATTTTTGGAAAATCTCATAGATTTGATCCTTAAACCCTCGGCTCAACATTTCATCTGCTTCATCCAAAACAAACATTTCGATCCATTTTGGAGAAAGATATCTTCTGTTTAACATATCAAATACTCTCCCTGGTGTACCAACAACAATGTGTGGTGCTTCAGCCTGCAGTTTTTGCATTTCATTCCGAACATTGGTTCCACCAATGCAGGCATGACAAGTTGCTCCCATATAGTCTCCAAGTGCCAGAATTACCTTTTGGATCTGTTGAGCCAGTTCTCTGGTGGGGGCCAATACTAGTGCTTGGGTCTTCTTGAACTCAATCTCCAACTGTTGCAGGATGGAAATAGCAAATGTGGCTGTCTTGCCAGTACCTGACTGAGCTTGAGCAATCACATCATACCCTTTAATACAAGGAATAATAGCTCTCTGTTGAATAGCTGCAGGCTTCTCAAAACCATAAGCAGAAGAAGAGACTCCTTTAAATTCATATCGTCAAAGTTATCAACAATCTCATTCCAGTTGCTCTCGATGACACCATCAGGGTCCATTCCCTCTGGGCCTCCATGTTCTCTCTTATAATCCGCGGAGCCACCAGACATGATTCGAAGACCCACTCAGCGCCCAACTGGAAAAGCAAAATTGTTCATTTAAAGCATTTTAAAATACTCAAAAGACTAAGAGTAATAACATCTTCATCTTAAGTCACATTATGTAATTTTCTGTGTTTTCTAGATGTACTGGTTCAAATAAAGAGCTGAAGGACTTTTCAGAATGCATATTCACCCTTATAGCATTAACTATCATTTCTGGAATGCTCATTTTTTGCCATTTTAGAGCATTCATTTAGTACTCATAACTCTGTAGCTAAGTTTATTGCCCCAGATTTACAGTTTAAATAGATTTGGGAAAGTTAAGTAACTTGCCCAAGGTCACAATCAGCTGTAGAGTCAGAACTAAACCCTGTGCTTAGTTAATACATTACACTGTATTGCACTTATTATTACATAGATTTTTAAATATTCAGAACTTTTAGAAGATGAATAATATGAACAGTGCATACAACGGAAGTCAAAATGGTCCTTGGTATTGGCCAGGAGAGAAGGTCCTGTGGCTGGCCGGCATAAATATCCAGCATTTCCCTAGGGTTCTAGATGCCTCTGACTCTAGATGCCTCTAGATATTCTAGTTGCTTCAAACATTAATGTTGACCCAGCCATGATTGTGTTTTCACGAGCCAACTTCTCATTATTATTTGGTCCCACAACAACCAATAGTGTCTGGCCCTATGGGAGTTTGATTTCTTATAATTGATTAAATTTGCATCTAGTTAAATAAAATTAACCAGGAAAAGTGTTTCAGGGGATTCTTTGGCTTTTATCACTGTACACTTAGTCTTTCAAAACTATGTATGTTACCCTCAAAGTGCACTTGATGAATACCCTAAAAATGAAGATCTATTCTAAAATGTAGTTACCAACTATCCTTTTGACCATCCTTACTTTATCAGTAAAACAACCTCAGGTATTCAGTTTTGGAACTGTCATTCAAATTAAGTGAACAGGCTTCATTTAAGGAACTATTTCTGTATTTCTGGAACTATAGCTAAGACGTATTCTAGAAGCAATTTGAGAGAATAAGTTGGCTAAACTCCGGCAGGTGAATTAGCTCTTCCCAAGGTGCCCCTAAATAAAGTTAACTTTCTAAGCCTCTGTTATACTCATATAACTGTGCCAGAACAGTTGTTTATTTACTGTAGTTCTACCATTATTTAAACCTTTGGTAAGGCAAAACTAGATTTTAAAAAGTAGAGGAAACATTGGCTATGCATGTGGGCAGCATTTTTAACCACAGAACATGAGGATAGAATGAAAGCTGTAATCTCTCAAGAGCTTGCTCCCCTTTGTCCAAGAGATGAATCCTACCTCTTTACCCTCAGGAGCCTCTCTCCATAAAAAAATAATTCCATCATACTACCTTAGATAAATACAGTGAAAAGGCGAATTTCCTTAAAGTCCTTTATCAAGAAGTTTTTCAATCAAGTAATTATTTCTTTCTTAGTAAAAAACTAATCTTTATCCTTTGGAGAAAAATTAGAAAATGCATGTAAACAAAAGGGAGAATATAAGAATTATCTATAATTCAATCATCCAAGTAAACCTGTAACTATTGTGGCTTTCCTAGGATTTTTCTGTATATTTAATGGATTCATACTGTTGTGATTTATCATTTGCTTTTTCCTACTAAAATATATACTGTAAATATTTCCCATGTCATTAAATATTCTTCAATAATATGATTTTAATAGCTACCTAGTAAAAGAGGGCAAACATTCTATTAAATATTCCATTATGTGCTTAATCAAGTTCTCTGTGTCACAATTAGATTGTTTCTTAATTTTTCACCTTTAGGATAACACTACAATAAGCATACATCTAACAAAATCCTCCAACATCCAGAATTATTTCTTTGGCATAAATTCATAATAGTGGAAATAATGGCCAAGTGTGTGTAAAATTAGAAGTCTGTAATGAATTTTGTCAGATTGTCCTCTTTTAAGGTCTTACCCCACCAGCAATTTTATGAGATTCAAATTTCCTTGGACTCTCTCTATTATTGATTACTATATTTTAATTTTTTCCTCCATCTGAGGAATTATTTTAAATGATGCCTTATTTTATTCATGTTTCTTTTATTAGTGAGAATGAACATTTTTCTTATGCATTTTAGTGTTTACATTTCTTCCTTTTGAAAATACAGGTTTCTCTTTAAACCATCTCCAAGATTGTTATCTGTTTAGCCTAATTTGAACGGACATTTCCTTCATCATAATAAAAAAAATAATTTGAAGACTAATTTGAGATTAGCCCATGAAAACTGAGTACTGCAGTTCACTCAAGTTTGTAGGCATTCTGCATATTTTTAACTTCAGACAATCTCAGGATGCTGAGATTGAGCCCCACTTTGGGCTCTGTGCTCAGCGTGGAGTCTGAGATTCTCTCTTCCTCTGCCCCTCCCGCTTGTGCTCTCTCTCTCTCTCTCTCAAATAAATAAATAAATCTTAAAAAAAAAAAGATCTGAACAAAGACTTGTGAGGAAAGGAAAGCAAATACATAACACCTGTGCAAAAGCAGCTTCTCAGTGTCAAACATCACTGCACCTCTCTGAGGGAATGGTGTTGACATAGGTCTATTTATTTGTTCATTCAGTAAATACGTGCTCAGGACTGGCATCAGGGAGTGGGCTGTGATTTTAAGAAGTTAGGGAAGGCCTCTGATAAAAGAGGAAATATAAATGGAAACTTCTTGAAGAGGGAGCATGGAAGGAGCACCCACTATGGAACAGAATGAACAAGGGAGAGGAGTAGGAGCTGAGGTGGAGGTCAAGGGCCAGACCACAAAGGGCCTGCTAGGCTGACTGGAAGAGGGTGCCTGGAACTGCTCCTCACTCTCTAGGTAACCCTCTCTGTGCCTGGGCTGCTTCATCTATTGTATGGGATAATGACGCTTCCCTCACTAAGTTGTTGTGAAGATACAGTGTGCTGATCCATCTAAGGTGCTTAGAACAGGGCCTGGCACTTTAAAGGGACAGCAGTTGTCCGTTATTATTATCATTATTTAAAAAGAGATTTCATTTGAGTGAGAGAGAGAACGAGAGAGAGAGAGAGAGAGAGAGAGAGAGAGAGCATGAGCGGGGAGGAGGGGCAGAGGGAGAGGGAGAAGCAGGCTCCCCACTGAGCAGGGAGCCCGGTGTGGGGCTCCATCCCAGGACCCTGGGATCATGACCTGACCAGAAGGCAGACGCTTAACCAACTGAGCCACCCAGACGTCCCCTGCTATTATTTTTTTAATTGCTATCCAGACTCTAAAGACCTGTAATTTATGGCATATCCATCCCACTTTTCTTATTTTGTATGTCTTCTTATATTCGGTCTTTTAAAATAATCATGCCTGAATCTCAAGTAACTTTGTTACTTGTTGTGGAAAATATTCATATTCATAAACTGATGTTTTCTGTCCTTCAAGAAGTGGGGTTATAGGTGACAAAAAGGAGTTTCAGTGTGGTCCTAGACTACTTCTGGAGCATCTCAGTACATGGATGAAAGTGATATTCTCTGCATAAGGCACTGAATAATTCCTAGCTTATTTCTCTAGGAACATGATCAACTTCAGAGAATATAGTGATTAAAAGTGAAGACTCGAGACAGATTGTGTGGGTTTGAATTTGAGCTTTGCTGCTTACTCAGTGGTAGCCTTGGGCAACTTTTTAAAACTCTTTATGCGTTAGTCTCTTTATAACATTAGGAATGATAATAGTACCTCTGTCAGAGTTTCTGTTCTTTTTTTTTAAAGATTTATTTATTTGACAGAGAGACACAGCGAGAGAGGGAACACAAGCAGGGGGAGTGGGAGAGGGAGAAGCAGGCTTCCCACTGAGCAGGGAGCCCGATGCGGGGCTCGATCCCAGGACCCTGGGATCATGACCTGAGCCGAAGGCAGACGCTTAACGACTGAGCCACCCAGGCGCCCCCAGGATTCTTTTTTGAGGATTAAATGAAAGCATAGGGAATACTACTTACAATGTTGCCTAGCTTGTAGTAAATAATTAAGTACTATTACTACAATCAGTATTTTAAAGTGACCAACAGTAAATAAGTAAATGAAAATTGGAATTACCACATCAGGAAATTTGTCAGAAATATCTTTGACATTCTCATATTTCCCCCTCTCTCACTACAACTAAGTGAAAATTGCCTCATCAGTGATTTCTTCCCATTGATCTTAATGCCGTGCTCCCACATTTGGTGGACTGACTCATGACTGCATTCACTGAAGCCGGGAGACGGCAGCACACAGCTTCCTGGAAGACTTCAACGACCAGGCTCACAGCTGTGAGTGATGTGGGCCTCAGAGTCTCAGCTCTCGTTCTGGATACGTTTTTAAGAAAATAAAAGAAACGGGTATATTCTGAAGGAAACATTACTGTGTATTGGAGCCAATTGCTTTAACTTGGCAGCTGCTGTTATTGTGACATGACTGTGGCTGTTTTTCCTTTCTTCCTGGAATATTAGCACAGGAATATTAATTTCTGTAATTCTATTATCTGCAAGGAGAGTGCTTGATTATTTGGAGCTCTGTGAAGAAGAGGTTCTGCAGACTAATCTAATCCTCTAAGAAAGTCTGAGAAATCTCTTGGATAAAAGGCTAGTGATAAATCAATGTGTGGTATCTCAATATGGAATAAATAATCAGATACCTGGGGGCAGATGGGCTTAGTTGGAGACAGGAACTGGGATGTTTCTGCCCTTAACCTTAGTGATGAAAATATTAGCATCTATAGCATTTACAATACATCTGGCCGCAAATACAATTATTTCTAATGTTGTTTAAATAGAAACTTCTGGGGCACCTGGGTGGCTCAGTTGGTTAAGCCTCCTACTTTTGATTTCAGCTCAGGTCATGATCTCAGGTTCCTGGGATTGAGCCCCAAGTTAGGCTCCAGGCTAACTCCAGGTGGGGGGGGTCTGCTTGAGGATTTCTCTCCATCTCCCTTTCCCCCTCCCCCCTGCTCCTGTGTGCCTGTGCATACTCTCTCTCTCTCTCTCAAATAAATAAATAACTCTC